TGGCAGTAGGTTCAAGGCTAGATCAGCATCGACCAGTTACTCTTCTATAGTGAAAAAATGTCACTCATTTATTTCTAATATCCATTCAAATGAAAAATCGTAAGTTTGTGTGAATGTAAAATGTTATTTTTGGAGGTTGTGGGAGAAGGAAGACATGAGTGAATCAGGGGTGGGCACAAATAGGTTTACAGTTGTGAGTACAGGAAACAGTTTATTCTTGTATTGTTACTTATTAATTATTGTATTATCTAATTAAAAACATACCTTTGCCCATCCCTGTATAATACACAATCTTTTAAAATGTAATACATATACAATACATAACTGATATACTATATAAAATATAATTATTTAAAATATATTAAATTATTTAAACAATTTATAGAAAATCAGTCAGAATTATTATCCAGTTCTTAAGTAATTCTGTCCCAATAAAAGGTAAATTTTTGGTTTTTGGTCAAGGAATATTTCAAGTTATTTTAAAAATGTTTTATTCTGGAGTTCTTGTATGAAACATTGTTTGGCTATTAATTTATATCAGTGTTTTGGCAATTAAAATCTTTTTATTTCTTGCTCTGGTCTTTCAAATAAAGATCGCAACTTAACAGAAAACTAACTGCATTTTAAGTGTTTATAAGATACATTGGCAAATGGAACTTACAACCTGTTTATCTTTATTGAGTTAGAGTACCACAATTATTCTTTGAGCCTCAGGTCTTTATATAAATGAACAATACAGTTTCATAATCCAAAGTAATATTGGCTGAGAATAATTTTCCAAAGAATTTGGTCTTGTTTTGTTTGTTTCATCATAGAAAGATTATGCTTTATAGTGCCTTTAATCTTAAATATTATGATGTAAGAAAAACAGGGGACTCTAATAATACTCAAACCCAAAGAAAGGCACTGGCACCGTAACCACAGAAACTCCTTGTAATATAAAACAAAAGACCTCTCTGTCTCTCTGTGGATAGAGTGTCGGCCTGCGGACTGAAGGGTCCCGGGTTTGATTCTGGTCAAGGGCATGTACCTAGGTTACAGGCACATCCCTAGTAGGGGGCATGCAGGAGGCAGCTGATCGATGTTTCTCTCACATTGATGTTTTAACTCTCTATCCCTCTCCCCTTCTCTCTGTAAAAAAATCAATAAAACATATTTTTTTAAAAAAGATCTCTTAATGATAACTTTTTGAATGTGCCTTTTTACCCAATTGCAGCCAGGGTAGTTGATTAAAAACCATCTCCCTAAATAATCTCTACCTGATGATTTTAGGTGAGAGACAGTAAGTATCTTCAGGAAATGAGATACATTTGTTTTAGCATGGTCAATATTCTGCATTAGGTTTACTAGTATTATTCAGTCATCTGCAGATTACCCAGTAATTTGAGTTATGCTAATAGCATAGAAATGGAGAAATGCACACCCCCCGTAATTCTGAATTAATAAGCTAGTATTTAATTTTATACATTTTAAGAAGACAAAAATCTGTACCTTTCAGGATATTAAAATAATATATGCTTATAGTCTAATACAATGTGTGATATAGATCAGAAAAAATATAGCCAAATGAAGAAGCAGCTAAAATATATTCATACTTGTTTGTTTACTTTGATACTTATATATATAGTATTTATAGTTGCTTTCAACATAGCTTAAGAAAAATTTTTCTAGTGCAGCAAAATATTTTACTTTGTGGTTTTGGTGCCTTAAAATTTTGAACACTATGATTGAATGAATGACTCTTGCTCTAAAATTCTCTGGGTAAGGACTGGAGATCCATACTGCCTTTATGGTATAAATCCCCTGAAATTGCTAAAGACTATGTTCATTTTGAAAGACAGCTACAATCAAGCTCCCCGTTAAAGAGGGTTCACTTTTCTGTGCTCTCAGGGCCAACTTTAAATTTTAATTTCTTGCTCCAGACTTTCAGATAAAATTGTGTCTAATAGAATAAAAATTACACCCAATAGCCTTTATAAATAGCCACTCAGAAATGGAAGTATTTGTATCCTCATTCATTGCTACATACTGTTATCAAGTTGATAAGCTTTGCCATAGGTTTACAATATAATTTCTTTCATTCTGAATAAAATTTAAAATCAATTCAGGGACCTATTCTGTAAATATTTTATACACTTTGTTCATTGGCAGATGATCTAAATTAGAGAAAAACATTTTTAAAATCTACTTCAATAATGGCTTATCTGAATAAGAGAATTTTCAAATATATAAACTGAAAATTTTAAAACATATCTCCAATATAGTAAGAATATTCCAGAGTTGACTTTCCCCCAAGTAGATAAAAGTGTAATTCACAATCAGTGTATCAGAGCCTAATTTGTATAGTTGTTAACTTATCAAGTAAAACTTAAGAAAAAAATAGCTGACTTGAAAACTAATAAGTTTATTAAAATAATTAGATATCAGTTTTTGCTTAATGTGAATTAAAAAGTCGAGGAAATTGAAAAGATAGAGTAGATTGGAGATTAATGAAGACTACTGTATCATAAATAAACATGATTATTTGTTCAGTGGAATATTAAACTTATGAATGTTTAAAGAAAAGTATAATATCCCTCATTTTCTGTGATGTTTTGTGTATTGCTATAAATATTCATGAATAGTAAGTATCAGTTCAGGTTATCTGTGTGAATATAAATTTTTATATAACCAGTCACTTAGGGTTCATTGGATCATGCTTTTGCATATGAAATCACTGGTATCTCAGATGCACCACGGATCTGACCCAGCTAATGAATATTCACACACACACTGATCTTTCTGGAAGTAACCACATCTATAGAGATGGAAATCTTATTAGTTTTTAATAATGAGAAACGTATTAGAATGCTGGTCCCAGAACAGTTTTACAATTTTACTGTTTTCATTTTTTTGTAAATGATAAACTTCAATATACACCTTTTTTTGATAGAACCTCTTTTTTTCTTTTACCTTTAAAAAGCCTTGTGCATGGTTTAGCCATAATTGCATTTGCTTCCTTTATTTGTTGTGGCCACCAAAAAACATGGACACTAAACAGTATCTCCAGACCTTATCTGAAGCCAATTTCCACTGTTTAGTTTTGGTCATAGATTCTCAAGTACAGAGATGTCCAATGTGATAACCTGCTGAGGTCATGGTATATATTTTACAAAAAAAAGATACGAAATTATTTTTCATCTTTTTGTGTGGAGGGAAAAATAATATTCTAAGCCAGTTAAACATTAATATGCTAGACAGAGGGTGCTGTAATTACAGAGGCCCATAATTACAAATTATATACCACTTTAACCCTTGTTTCATCCCACATTATAATGCTTCTCTTTCATTGTAATGAAAGGCATATGTTTCAGTCAACAGTTATAAGCAGGTATCAAATTCAACGACCTGATCCTTATTAGCACTATACTCTAAATAATTGAGCTAACTACAAAAAAAGAAAACTGTTCATAATGAACTACTTCATATTTCTAACATTGACATTGTCAAACCTCTGAATTTTTTGGGGGGTCAAAATGAATACCTTTTTTATTTTGTAAACACATTAAACTATGGTCAATGGCAAGCATATTTCTTTTTAACTCAAGTAACACACCAGATTATCTTACACCAGATTATTGAGGGAGGTGGTTATCAAACTGTGCCCTGAACTGTCTGAAAGTTAGGAATGCTGCCATTGTCTGTTTTATGTATTACTAGTGTTTTGGTGCATGGATTCGTGAACATTGAACGGAAATTAATTAGAAGAAATATTTTGATATCGCTATTCGCCCTCTCTCTATAGAAGTGTCAACCAAATTCACCATAGACAATGACATATTGAAACACATGCATGCGATTGGCACCAGCGAGAGCTTTATATGTATCATGCATATTCGAGTCAACTTAGCCTTTTATATACATAGACTAAACTTCTTAATTAGACCTGCTTTCTGATTTAGCTAAACTTTTTCCAGCCCAGTGAAACACCCAACTTCTCTTTCAGGTAATTGTCAGCAACACAGCAGTAAATATCAACACTAAGCAGATTATTATTGTAGATCAAGCAGAGAGAACAAAGAGTAAAATATTTAACTGTGGCAGTGTTTGACTATATTCTGTGCAGTGAGAAAACCTGAAGTCATTTTCAAGGTCCACCATTTCTTCTTTTTCAGTCGAGTCAAGTTTCTAAACTTTCTAAAATCCCCTTTTTCTGGCAAATGAAAAGAAAATAGAATCCAAGTCTTCTATCTACCTACCCAAGGACTTGTGCGAGGATCTAATGAGATGAGGCATGGGAAAACGCTTCACAGACGTTTGTTTAAATTGTAAAATGTTGGCACCTGGCTATAAAGCAAGTCGGGTTCCTGGGTTGAAGAAACTCCAAGGAGGCTAGTCACTAGGAGGGAGGAAGTTGGGCATTGCTACATGAAATTATTAACTGGGCGCCCACAGCGACTGTTGCGGGGCTTAGCTAGGCTATGGATCACATTTTGCATATGGGATCTTGGCAGCATTGACTGTGATTTGGTGGGGTGTCGCTCCGGAGTGGTGGTGGGGCCCTGTGTCCCACTTGGAGAAGCCAAGTGTTGGTTTGTCAGCGCCAGGTCTGTGGTGCCATTTATTTTTAAATGGCCAGTGCGTGTCATAGCTACTGGTCAGACGGACAGACACTTAGCCTTTTATATAGAGAGATAGTCATTCTCAACAGGGAGCAGCTTTGCCCTTCCAGGGATTTCTGGTGCTGTCTGGAGGCAGTTTTGCTCATCACAACAAGGGGGACTATACTGACATCTCGTGGGTGGAGGCCAGAGATACTGCTGAGTATTCCACAGAGCACACAAAGCTCCCACACAAAGATCACCCAGCCCACAACGTCTAAAGGCCAACATCCTATACAAATTTGTTTGAAGACATAATCCCACGTCTAAACATTTTGGTAGCTACTGGATTAGAGTACTTTATAAGTAAAGCAGTGAAAATGTATATCTTTTTTTGCAAATCGGTGGAGACTGATTCAGTTATTAATCATAATTTTTATTAATTTCTTTCTCTTTTATTTTTTGTTAGCAACAATTGTGTTAAATGAACTGAACTGGACAAGTGCCTTAGATGAAGTTTTCAAAAAAAATCGAGATGAAGATCCTTCATTGCTGTGGCAGGTGTTTGGCAGTGCCACTGGCCTGGCCAGATATTATCCAGGTAAGTGCTTAGTGAATCAGCAGGTACCAGGTAAAATCATAAATCCAGACTTAATGTTTCTTGAGAACAATCTATTACCTTCTCCTACATTGAAAGAAAAAGATAGTTACCATGTTACTTTTAAAAGGAAAGACTATTTCTCTTTAAATGGCTTTGTATCTACCAAAATCACCTTAAACTCAGACACCTAAGCAGCACCTGAGGTATCGGCACCTGAAATCAGGCCAGGCAGCTGTGAGACCAGTGATCAGGTATCTTTGTCTGGATGGGGAAGTTATCCTGAATCCTAAAGCAATTCTGAGATAAAAATCTACACGCTCAGCATGGACCAGTGAGTCACATTGAGTATTAAATAGAATTTTCAGAGCCTAATTGAAATTTTTCTCTCCAGATCTGGTTTATGTTTCTTAGTAAAATGCATTGATGCTTTTCTTCAATCTCAAATGAGGATTTGTAGAAATGAGTTTGACAGAAAATAACATGCAATTTCAATGAAAGTAAAGCTTTCTTAGGTGTCAGGTTGGATTAATTTTGAGGGCACCTCAGCAATGAGATGAATGCATTTTATACATTAAAATGGATAAAGCCTTTTGTGATGTCCTTTATGTTTTCTTATAAAGGAGGGTTTGGAGAAATAAATCTATCAAAAAATGAAAAATTCATCACTAGTCAATCCTGGGAACCTGTTGAAAGGACTTTTAGTGAAATGTCTGTTTCTCCACTTTTAAGAACAAGCTGACAAGCACAAATACATTTTATTTCTCAGAGACATGGCCTGAGTTATGGGGTACTTAAGTAACTTGACTTGAAACAGTATAGAGGAGAATTTTTCTTGAGAGTTGACTTTTTATAAACATGTTTAACAAATAGAATTAGTCACAATAAAAATCACAAAAGTGAACATGGAGAGAACTAGAAACTGGGTAATATCTACCTTTGTATGGCAATAAATCAGTATCAGGGAAATTGATGATGCTAAGAAGGAGGGGCAAATCAGTTTATAAGAGAGAACTAGGAAGGGGAGATTACAAAATAAGAGGGAGAGAGACCTTTGTGCTCAAGAATTGGAAGTAAAGACAGGTTGTGTTTAAGCACTTTTCAAAGATGGCTCTTTTTACAAATAGCAATTAACTTTTAAAAAATACCATTTAATCATATTCAGTTCTTTCATTTTACATGCTAATTGAGGAAGCAGGTTTTAACTTTTTAAAGCCCTATTCACATACTTTCAAATGTGTTGCCATTTGTCCACTTTGTTTTGGGAAAAAATTTTAAAGGTTTAATTTAGCTGAATCCTTGAGGTCCTTCCAGAATATTAGCTGTGGAAGCAACCCTGTACTCTCTGGGAATACCTAGATTTGAACAATGGTTGGGCAGACATTTGCTTTCCTAGATTTCCTGACACCTGAATATGGGTCTATATCCCCTCTCTGTCTAGGAGATTCATCCTGGACCTTGCTGTGGGAGCCATGATGCTAATTAGGGACTGTGGAGAACCCATTCTGGGTGGTAGTAGTTGGGCAGCAACACTCAGACTCCTGAAAATCTTGTGAGCTATGCAATACAAATGTATGGAATCAATTCTTAAAAACAAAACAAAACAGTCCAAACTCATTATCTGGGCTTGGAATTCAGAACCATGACTAATACTCCATAGGAGATGACTGAGACAAGCCTAAAATAATGATTGACGTAACATCAGTTAGATCCCGGCAATTGGACCAGGGTCAAAGGTATTTTTAGGTATGTGAAATTCACCTTCCTTTTTCTTTTAATGAGGGGAAAACATGTGAAGTCTGTAGAATAAGAAAAATGCACTCAAACTTGCTAATTGGGAATGCAATTAGTTTTCATGTGAAATGGTGTTTCTACCAAGAGAATCAGCCCTCAAATGCATCATTATGAGCTGCATTATTTCCTAGCAGCTGAAAATAAAAACTGATACTCTTCTGTTATTTTAGACTGTATTAACTAGAAAATGGATTTGTAATTTGCATACTTTCTCAAGAATATAACTAACACATATTTTAGTATTCTGATATAATGTATAAATACCTTTTTTTAAGTCAACAGTCCAACAACTGACATAGTACACCTTAAATATCATATGAAGTAGAAGTGTAGTTCAATAGATGTAGTCAGTGATAAACTCACAGTTCATCTCACATCAGAGGAAAGCATTCTCATGAATGACTAATATCACCTTTAACTTGGGCTTTCAGAAATTATATGCCCACAATGTAGCTGTTATTCCCGCCCCTTCTTTCTTCTGTCATCCCAAAATCTTATTGGAAAGCAAAAGAGACTCTAAACTGAGCAACCTTTCACTTTTTGCAGGGATTTTAGAAGCTCTGATTTCTTCTCAAAATATGTATCTTTCATTCTGCATCATTATGAATCTGATCATTTCACTGTATGATTATTAGTCATTTTTACTATTTGATCTTCCACAATTCTGAGCCTATATAAATAATGTACCAGTTAATTGCCACAATGGGATTTTACAACAAATTAATTAGTAATATCACAGAAGAAATCACATTGTTTAATTTGACCATAATATAAATATCTTAACTATAATCAAGGGATATGTCCTAATAGTAGATATTTCAGAAGACTTCTAAGAGATGATTCTTAATGTTTTTAAATATAAGCCATTTAAGAATCATGAATTATTATTAGAAATTTCTCTAAGGGTCATATATCTAAACATATTCAAGGAGAGGACTTGTTCAGCATAAAATTATTGTCTAATTCATCAACTTCTAATGTCATCCAATGGGTCTAAGTGTGTGTGTGTGTGTGTGTGTGATATTGTGAAAGAAGGTTTGTAAAACATTTAAATTAAAATATAGATTTAATTTGAATAAGTATACATTAAATACATTTGAAATCAATGCAGTTAGACAAAAGTATTTTTTTATGATTACTGAAAATGGTAAAAGCTATGAAATTAACTAAAGGTTCTTGAATCTGTATTGAGTTACTTCAAATCCTTTAAATAAATTTAAGGAAAACAGTATTTTTGTATAGTTTTTAATTATAATTTAACCTTTTAAGTAAAATTTCAAATGGACTAGCCATTATCAAATGGCTAGTTAATAATAAGGCTAAAATTATGATATTGTATGATAACAACCCAAGAAAAACAGCAATCATTTTTATAGATCGAGGTAGTATGGCATTAGATGAAAATATAAAGATTAAATAATTGAAAGCATAATTTCCATGATGCCAAATCTATTTTCTTTTAAGGTTAATATTTCTGTTAGTAGAGAAGAAAGAAAATATATAAATCCTGGAAACCTAGTAAAACGTATAAGTCAGCACCCAGAAAATCCCTGTGTCTGCAAATTATTTCTGAAATAATATGAAAAAGAAAATATGTTGACTTTCTTTTATACTGCTATCTCATTTTCCATTTTTTGCCATTAACAAACAAACAAAAATTATGCATAAAAATTGTATCCCCCATTTTAAAATTGTTGTGGATATGAAGAATGTGTCAATGGTGTTTTTGGTTTATTTTAAATACTATTTGTATAGGTCATGTCTAATATTTTGATGTTATCTCTCCAATTTTTTAATTTAACTTAATTTCTCTCTCCCTTTTACTTTCTTATTTTTTTTTTCTTTCTTTCTCTTAAAGCTTCTCCATGGGTTGATAACAGCCGAACTCCAAACAAGATTGATCTTTATGATGTACGCAGAAGACCATGGTAAGAATTTTAGGTAATCATGAAAAGATGAAACAGACAAAAGTAGGCTACATTGTTTTGTGTGAAAAAGATGGAAGGAATCTTTCAATTATTAGGATGAATATTGTCTAATTATTTAAATGGCTCTGGTATTTTTTAAAAATGTTAACAAATGCATACAGTTAAAAGTAAATGAAGATAAAGTTCACATGGGAACAATAATGAATAGTGTTGAAATTCATCAACCCATTTATTTCAACTGGACTACCTTTATATGCAATTTCATCTCCAAAACTCTTTTAGCTGGTGGGATTTCTATGGAAAGACCCCTAGTTTGCTTAGAGTAGAGCTCTAATTGAGCCTCTGGACTGAGTAGGAGGTGGTTTGTCTTTGGCAGTCAACTAATGAGAACTGGCCCAAACAGTAAGAACTGCCCCTAGTTATAGTTATATTGCTTAGGTTTATTGTTCAAAAAAGTAAGTATTATTTGTTTCTCACTAGTAAAGCAACTCATTTTCCTAATATAAAACTCAAAAAATACCAATAACTTATATTTTCCCAACTTATGTGTTGTAAGGTTTTAAAAATGTATTTAATATCTTTTCTTGAATTAGTTCACATGATGTCCAATATACTGTTTTGTAATATACTCTTTTCATATCAATACCTTTTAGTGCCTGTTCCTAAGAGATACACTTTACATCATTTTAAAATAATGACTATGAAATCCCCTATTATTCCACATTTAGATTATTTCTAACATTTTGCTAGGGTTCAGACAAATTCTCAGACATACTGGTTGATTCAAAGTAAATGTATTTAATGCTTTGATGATGCTGTTAAATATCCCAGTATCAGTTTACATGAACATCAACCATTATAGTAGCACAAAATATTATTAATACACATATTATGTTTGTTGATAGTTCTCCAAGTGTGGTGGCTGTGAAGCAATGGGAGGTAAAAACAATTACATCCCATGATTTGGATTCGGGAAACAGCTGTTTTGGGGGAAACTTGGGAGCTAAGTGCTAAATAGAAGAGGCGGACAATAGTCTTTCCTCTAATCTTCCCACAGAGAGGCACGTCTGCACCATTTGTTAAGATGCCAGACATGAAGTAAATTTGCTTTCCATTGGAATATCCCAGCAGCGTTTCCCCTAGCCTTCTTAGAGTGATGCAAACTTGCCTGCAAGTTATAAACTGTGTTTCATGAACACAACACGTAGTCCTGAGTAGATGCTAACTGTGCTGGATGCTGTCTCTACACTAATAGACAAGTCATCTGGCAAACTTCTGAAAAGTGAGATTTAGAGTCATGGGTAAAGAGGCATCAGAAATGAGTAGAAAGTTGAGTCTTCAGCCTTCCTGGTGGGGAGAGTAGGTCCCTGTGCCCTGGCAACCTGTGGCCAGGCAACATGAACTCTGGGATCATTCACCTGAAGTTATGTTTCTCTCTCTACAATTCCTAAATGATGTGAATAAAACTCTCCTATAGTCTCTTTAAAATGCAGAGATTCTAAATCTGTAGGGCTGGGTTGAACTTGGGAATCAACATTGTAAAGTAACTCTCCAGGTGGTTTCTTAGATTCTATGAAGTTTGAGAGCCATCCCTGAGAAATCTTGGTAATAATATTATATATTTTTTCTGTTTTTAATTTCTTTATTGCCCCATTGTATTTCTGTTCTGTTGCTGTTTTTTCATGGTCCTAGACCACTTAACTATATTCCGTGTTTATTTTTTGCATTTAAAAATATGAATTAGCCTTGTGATTATTTATTCTTATTATTCCTTAGAATTAGTTTTAAAATGTGTAGACAACAAATTGAAATTCAGAATAATTTTCCCCCAAAAAATGGGCTTCTAGAAGTTACATTATTTTGCTCTTAGTATTAAAACACGTCTCTTCATCCTTTTTAAAATAAATATCTGAAAAACATAATTGAAACATTATGTCACTGGTATCTCTACCATTATAGCTTTTTAACATGGACAATGCAAAATTATGAATGAAAGAGCAGAACATTGTTGACTGCGATAGAAGAGAAGTAGGTCTGTTTGGAAAATACCTTATCTCTGATCAGGAAATAGCAGGGTAACAAATATCAATGTTTGCTATTTTGCAAGAGGAAATGTGTTCATTTGGGATTTGTTTCAGGTACATCCAAGGAGCTGCATCTCCCAAAGACATGCTTATTCTGGTTGATGTGTGAGTAGCTAAACACTACGTATTTATTTCTATACTGAGAAAATAGGGTGGAGTCATAGATAACAGTAATGTGTTGGGACTGAGAAATGATTGCTAGGTTGGGGGGAGAGAACAAAGTGTCATTATGATTACTTTTATATCCAGACAAAGAAGCCATATGAAGACAGTAACAAAACAAAAATTATGTCATTGAAAATGAGAAGAATCTATATCAGAATTGAAAATTAAGGCCTGACATGGTTCTAAAGTCTGAGCTTTTTGAAAAATATTAATTGCTTCTAATGTTTGGCTTTATATTTAAAATAACTCTAAGGTACAGTATGGCCAAAACTAAGCAGTTTCTGCTACAAAAAAAAAAAAAAATCATTCTTTTGACAACTAGTCATTAAGATTCAAATAACTTCGAAGGTTTTGACCACAAAACAGAGTAAAATGTATTAAATGTCAATACTGGGACTTTCTCGAGGGAAATGCTAATATATGTGTAAGAACTCCAGGAGTTTTTATATTGGTCATTTTATGTGTTACAATGTTTCAGTTTAAGGTGTGTGCGTGCGTGTGTGTGTGTGTGTGTGTGTGTGTGTGTGTGTTTGTGTGAGGGGCTGGGGGGGAGAGAGAGAGAGAGAGAGAGATCCTCTAATGAAGTTGAAAATAAAATGGTAGAGCATAGAAAAACATATATCCTGCTATAGAGATTTGGTTTTTAAGAGTAATAACAAGGAATAAAATCAAAGCATAAAATGCTTTGGTTATTTTCCCTGAGAAAATAAAGGTGTGTTCTCAGATATTCTTCACCACATTGGAAGAAACAGAATCCAGTGATTTATTGGCAAATAAATCTGTATCACAGGCTAACATTAACATTTAAAAATTTCTTCATTTTGACCTAAAGTAAACAAGTTCAAAACTTTATAACCTAGCCTGAGAAGAGGAGATAAATGAATTAGACAAATGTAACTTAAATGTTCATTCATTCTCATTTCATTTGTTAAATGCATTTAAGCTATATCTCATTTAAATTATTGTGGAATTTATATCATACACGAATCCTTAAGCACAAATTTTAAATGGTAATGTAATGTGTTATAATTCTATTGGATATACAATTTCCAGAAATACTTTATCATATTAAAATCTTTGAAAACCACATGCATATCCCAAAATTGAAAATATATATTTACTGGGTAACTATGGGTAGTGTTGTATTAAGGTGTGTTTCCAGAATTTTCACCTACTGCATGGGGAGGAGAGGTGACTAAGAGCTGCCTGCAGTAGCTGTTACCCTAGCTCAGCATCTTCAGGTCAAGGAGATCTGAGTCAGAGCGGAGAGAGGGTGGAGAGGAGGCCACTGTCTGGGAACAGAGTGAAGTGGAATGAATGAGAAAATTGTCTGAAAGGGAAGGAAGGTTAAGGGGGAGGAGGAAATTGGACTAAGACCTAGCTTGGTTATTACCAAGAGCACAAATAGGAAAGAAAAATATGTTGGGGAATAATGTGTCATTTTGGACATTGAGCCTGTAGTTGTTTAACAAGCAGTGAAATGTAAAAGTGGGGAAAAGTTGAGAGCTAGAGATGTAGAATTGGGAGTCAGTTGTCTAGAGCCCCACAAATAGATGAGGTCATTCATGAGCATCATAGAGTTTGTAGAGATGAGACAAAATGAAGACTGAACCCCAGAAAATATCAACTTTAGGATACAAAACAAAGCCTTTTGTCCACATACAAAAATGTGTCTCTTATCATATATCTTATGCTGCTTCATAAATATTGGTTTAATCAAGTAAAACATTGCATACCCTCAAGCAATGACCTTAAATGTGTACCTGCAGAGGTTATAACCCCTCACTTCTAACTTGGATAACCAAGCTGGTATTAAGTTTATGTTTCCTGAGTAAGTGAATGTGCCCTGAGTATTCATATTTTCTTAAAATTGTCATTTGACTTTCCATTTTTGTCATTGTGCTTAGAAATATATATTCTGATGCTGTATAAAACAACAAGATTTCCTTTTTTCTACACTATTAAAAATATGGCTTTTTCTACTACTGATTTTTTAAAGACAAAATTATTTGAATATTATATAACGATCTAGAACCAGTAGGTAACTTGCCTTTACTTTAAAGTGTCTGATTTTGATGAAATAGATGGTCATTAACATGCATGCACCCATTTTTTATAGGAGTGGAAGTGTTAGTGGGTTGACACTTAAATTGATCCGAACATCTGTCTCCGAAATGTTGGAAACCCTCTCAGATGATGATTTTGTGAATGTAGCTTCAGTAAGTATAAGATGACTGCACTTCTTTGGTCATCCCGTTTTGGGGGAATTAAATCTGCAATTTCTATCTCCTGTGACTTTAAAATACTCTGTAATGCTGTATTATAGACAGGCTGAGATATTTCTGATCTATTACAAGACTATCTCACTGAACAGTTCCTATCCTGTTACTAATTCTCCTTTATTTCTTCACCAAGGTCCTTTCTGAATGTCTAAGTCTTTACCCACAAAGTAATTGAAGGAAAAATATTACACATATTCTCCTTTACTCAGAGAAGCTTAACCAGGTGACATGAACCCTTTTACTCATTGATATCATTGTAACTCTTAATAAAATTTATTTTTCAATTTAAAGGGCGAACCAATAGATATTTGAATGGGCTTCTTTTAGAGTTTTATTTCCCCAGAACCATCTTAGACCTTCCTATTCATAGAGTGCACTGGACTCTGAAACAAGTGAAATAGAACAAAATAAACGTTACCACGTCTCATTTTAATTCATAGAAGTGAGGCAAAAAATGCCATGGCTGGTGACTAGTGGATATAATTTCACATTTGAAGTGGATGTACTCCTAGAGATGAACATGAGGGAAGGGGAATTTGTGGGGAGGTCATTTTGTATCAAACACAGGAGAATGGCTTTGTCTCTGACACCACTGGGAGGAGGAAGAAGTTCAAGCACATGGCCTCCCTTAACAGAGGGCACCTTGGGGAGTAAAAGGGGGGCATAATCCTTGTCAATCAGAGCTCCAGGTAACTAGATTAATATTTACTGAGAGGAAGAGGATTAGTCCTGAAGTGCTTTTAGCATGATATCCCTGGCTAAGGGTAACTATGATAAATGGAACCCAGGATCAATGAAGCAAAACCCCCTGAAAAATGTCCATGCGTGATATAACTAACTCTCTGGTTAATACATTGGAGCTTGTCCATAGTTTAAATAGCCCAGCTATACAAGGAGCCCCTCACACCTCTTATTGAGACTTCTTTTCATCTGGGCCAGAGTGGTGTCTCCAAGGTGGGACTGAAGGACCTGCCATATAGAATGCCACAGACTGGATAGCTTGAACTACAGAAATGAATTTCCTCATAGTTCTGGGGGTCGGAAGTTCAAGGTCACGCTGCCAGTAGAGTCAGTTCACTTGAGTTCTCTTTCCTTGGCTAGCAGTAGCCACCTTCTTGCTGCCTCTTCACATAGCCACCTCTCTGTGCAGACCCTGGTGTCTCTTCCTCTTTTTATAAGGACACATGTCCCTAAACTAACTGCCTGTTTAACTTAATCACCTGGTTGAAGTTCTTATCTTCGGACACTCTTACATTCTGAGATACTGGGGTTGGGACTTCAACATATGAATGTCAGGGGGACACAATTCAGCCCGTAATAACATGTGGCACCACCGTCCATGTCCAGATCTTTTCTGCTTCTGATGAACCCTTAGAAACCTTCGCTTGTCTGACCCCGTGTGTTACCTCACCACTTAGTCTGTAGCTCTCAAAAAAGTGATCAGAAAAGACAGTCATTTTATTTCATTTGTACATAAACATACTGTTTATCACACAGCCATTGTGGTGGTTGCTAACAAAATATGATCTTTGACATCGCAAAAGAGAAAGTCGTAAATTCAGTATAGATTTGTCATATCTAAGTTTCTTTCGTTTCAGAACAGAAATTTTGATGCTTAAATTCTGTAGGAGATGCAGAGTGAATGCTGTGTCATTTCCTAGTGACTCTGTTGTTTCCAGCGCTGCTTTTTGGTTACAGAAAAGAAGCCTGCTGTTAGGCAAAGCTCAAACGCAAGCATTATGTAGCTGTTTTCTCACTAATCCAGTTATATGTTTTGACAGAAGTAAGTGGTAGATGATAGGAGCAGCGATTCAATTATAGCATGTTCTGATTTACAGGCAAAATTTCAAATGTTGACACGGGAGTGGAATTTGTTTACGAAAGTAAGGGAATTTGACGTTTTAGGAATAAAGTTGTGAGCTAGTGGATAATGAAAGGAAAATGTATGCTGATTATGGGCAATTTGTGAAAAGTTAGCAACTGCACAAGGTTGTCATATATTTCCATAAAATCACATAGCTTCTTACTTAAGAATTTGATGCAAATATCAAGATTGTATCAAGGTTCCTTGAGTGCATTTTCTTCCAGAAAGCTTTATAACTCATGTGTATTTAAAAATGCTGTCCTGGAGTAGTCATCAGGAAGAAATAATCAAAATATAATTCCTTATAATATCTTTGCTATTAGTTGTAAGAGAGAACTTTTTCTTAACCCTCACCCAAGGATATGTTTTTATTGATTTTAGAGAGAGATGAAGGGGAAGAGAGAGAGAGAGAAACATCGATTGGCTGTCTCCCATACAGGCCCTGACCACTGACAATTGAACCCCCAACCTAGGAATGTGCCCCGTCCTGGAATCAACCCTTTGGTGTATGGGATGATGCTCCATTCAACTGAACCAACTGGGCAGGGCTGAGAAACTTGTTTTTTAAAGGAAACTCTCCACTTTACCTAGATTGTAGTCATGCTTAGATTGTGGTCAGTAAACAACAGTTTTAGGAGTGACAGTCTCTATATGTAGTGCGAAATGGGGAGTGAGGAACCACCGCCCCGTAGGAGCTGGGGAAGGGATGATCTTGACCTGATGGCCACGTTAGCAAGGCTCACCTCTTGTGAAGTGACCCACTTTCCACTCTTCTCAGACAATCCGGCCTCTTGGATGTACTCATGGAATTGCATAGGGATTGTGCATAACCTTTGAAATGACTGGTTACATGACCTTGTACAAGTTATGTAAGGCTTATGAATCTGTTTCTTCCTCTTTGAAAAGGACAGATCATATTTAACTTGTCAAAAAGCTATTGAGCACTATATGCAAAATGCTTACTTATGGCAATTGTTGTTATTGTTACCATCATATTCTTCTAATACTTTTCTACCAACTGCTGGGAGACAGTTCTTCATGAATACGTCACATTTCTTCAAAGCTAAGCATTAACAGCCAACCTGCTCAGCTTTATGTCTATTCCAGGAGAGTGAAGGTAGAGCTGTCTTCTCCCCCAGAAGAGGTTTACATTGCCGAGTCGTTAAGATATGGTCTCCCTTTGATGAGGATGATGGGCTGCCTGCCAGCAGCCCCTTGTAAGCTCAGGGCTTCCTCTTTTGGGTCTCATGCCCAAAACTCATCTATGGCCAGTGCGGATGACCTGGCCCTTCTCTTATCCCCTGTGGGAATTGGGTTTTGGATGCAAATAGGTCTCAGTCTGCTTACTCCTGCCTTCTGTCTCTCACCAGAGGACTTGTATTTCTTGGGCTAGAACTGTGGTCGGCAAACTACGGCTCGCGAGCCACATGTGGCTCTTTGGCCCCTTGAGTGTGGCTCTTCCTAAGCCTCAGGAGTACCCTAATTAAGTTAATAACAATGTACCTACCTATATTGTTTAAGTTTAAAAAATTTGGCTCTCAAAAGAAATTTCAATCCTTGTACTATTGACATTTGGCTCTGTTGACTAATGAGTTTGCCGACCACTGGAGCATCTATAAAGTGGTAGAAGACTAATTACTTAGCTTAAAAGTAGAATGAAATCTCAGACACCTCCCAGTTCTTGACCTGATAGTTAAACACCAACTAATGTCAGGGGGGGTTTGTTGAAATATGCAATTGTACATATCTGCAAAGGGACACGATTTGGATTGTTCCTTTTCCTATGAGCTTAGAACTTTTTTGCCCCCTTCTAACGTATGCCTAACGGCTTTCTCGGTTTAGGAACTTTTCTGCATATGATAATGAGCACAGTTGTCAGTTGTTTCACAATTTAAATTTGAAAGTTATTTTTACACCCTTCCCAAGCAGGCCCGCATTTGCCAGTGCTGGAGTAAAAGAAAAGATACTTGCCATGCCATTGCAGTTTGCTGACAAGTGAATTCTGGGAGAGTAATGTCATTTCACGTCTTATAAAATAGTCATCCGTTTAGATTTCAGGAAAATTTTATGTTGACTCATATCTCATGTCAACAAATAAGAATATTATAGTTTATACCCTTGATTCTCACAGTGGGGCCAGTGGCCAAGCAGCATGAGCAGCACCTGGCAGCTGGTTAGAAACGCAGAATCTCAAACTCTGCCCCTGATCTAAGGATCCAGAATCTGCAGTTAGCAAGTCTCCCAAGTGATTCCTCTGCAGTGGGAAAACCAGAGAATCGGGGCTCATCAGGGAGGCACATTTTGCAGAGTCCAGTGGGCATCTGCCTGGGCCTTATTGTAACTAATCATGCTTATTCATGATTGAGATGTTAAGATCTTGGTACTTCATAGAATTACTAATACAATGGATGTTTATGAATGTTTTTATTTTGTAGCCATTTGCTTTTGTGAGGGTGAAATTTTAAAAAAAAAAACACAGGAAGAAGGAGTAAAATTAAGCTCATTAAAAAAACTGAAATTCCCTCTTTTTACCTACTTTTAAAGGTAAAGATGGGTGCTTTAAAAATTATCTTCATCTAAATTATACCCAAAAGAAATTGTAGACTATGAAGGAAAGACTGAAATGAGAAATTTAGGGATTATATAACAAGACAAGTAATCAAGGTTATTTAATTTAAAAAAAGAGATTGCTAGAGGATAACTCAATTGCTTTGGAAGTATAAGGAAAGTTTATAAGAAGGTGTGGACAAGCATGGTAAATATTTTTCCATTAATTATAAGGTACAAGAAAGATGGCTTTGGTACTTAAAAATTAGTTGCATTTGGAGTTTTAGAAATAAGAAAGTAATATTTAAAGAGAGGAAGAGGGAATACTTTTAAAATTGAGCTATTGTTTTTAAAATAACAGTTATTGACTTATTTTCTGGGGCTTGAAGGACTAGGTATAGACTCCATGCCCAATAAGCATAGATGTATGTCATTACATGTTGGGTAAAATTTTTCAAAGTACATTTATTCATTTAATTTTAAGTAAAGGTAAAGAGGTTGGCTAGGGCTAACCTGAGCTATAGCC